GGTCTTGTGATTATCATTTTCCCCCAAAATCTGGGGGAAAATTAAAATATTATCTAGGGTGGGGTGGGAAAGAAGCGTGTGAAAAATTGTGAAATATCCTAAAAGTTTCATTACAATATTTCGCGACTACCTCGACATTGCTTGCATTTATTGTAAACGCTAAATGATCCAATCCTGTTTGGGGGGACACAATGTATCAAATCACATTTAGTAATCAAATTACAGACTTGAACATGTGTTTAAGCTCAAATTTCATTCAAACGGGTCGATGGCTAGTAAAGAGACGCCAAAAAAGCTCTATAAAATAAAGGATCGACGGCCAGCATTTCGCGTTGTAGGCTTTGTAATTGTGTTGCTGATCCGAAACACAGCAAGAATCTTTATCGAAAGCAGTGCGAAACAATCCTTTGAAACGCAGAGATAATTCTCGGTGAAAAGTTGCCACAAGATAGCGACCTTCCTTATCAAGTATGTGCGCCATGTGAGAGAAGGCTTAAAAACGCGGTAGAATTTAAGAGAATTATAAAAGAAACCCAGAGAACATTAACAGAAAATATCCGTGCCAAGCGTTGCCTAGAAATATCACCATCTGCAACAGTGCCTCCTCCAAAAGTTACTGCAGTTGGGACTTTGTGTCGTCGAAGTATCGATTTCAGTTTGGCAGGCGAAACTACAGCTGAAATTCCAGTTCCAGTAAGTAAATACATGTGATATTCTTAAAAAATTCAAATGCTCAATCATAATTTTGGTATTCAATTATATTACCAGTATTGTGGTTAAATATTTTGGCATTTTTGCGCAATGGCATTATGTACTACATACACAGTGCATTCATGCATACAAAATTCAGAAAGATAACGAAGATTTCATATATAAATATTTATTTTAAAACATTTCTTTTCATTTAAAGTATGTCTAAATACTCTTATACAGAGCAACAAGAAATTTCTTGTTGCTCTGTATAAGAGTATTTAGACATACTTTGAATAAAAAACTTGACTGTATTATGTCATGTTATTTATAGGGCGTCTTTCCAGGAGAGACAGTTGAAACCATATTAACACAAGTTCTCAGTGTGGCCAACAATGAGCTCATTGGGATTGCAAGGAGAAGTAACCCATCTGTCCTGAGGCAAAGAAATTATGTTGGTTTATCATCTCAGAGTTGGATGTCGCAAATTTATAAAGAGATGGAAAGAAGATGCCCTACAGTACATATGATTTTTTACCGTCTCATGGAAAGCAATATTTACCAAGGAAAGAAGAATCCTGCCATTTAACATACAGCATCATCATGTTTTTACGATGCCACAAATGAAGCAGAGTACAGAGGATCAATTCCATCCTGCTTGCACAAAGCCATGCATCTGCTAATGTAAGTGCCATTTTTGCAGTAAATCCTTATTCTAAATTTTGTTGACTCTAAAAAATGACTCTGACATTTTTGACTGATGATAGTATTCTGATGCATCTGATATCTTATATCACCGTCTGTAATTAATATCAAGTGACATTCATCAATCTTCATGCACCAAGAAATGGGTAATTGTCCCAACACTAAGAATCAAACAGGAAACAATATAGCAGATAGGTCTGAAGACAGGGAATAGCATAAGATGAAAGTGGGTTTTAGAAAACAGTTAATGTTAAGAAATCAATTATAGGACTTGCACAATGCCTACCAAAGCCTGAGCAAACAAAGTTGGCCATTCTATAATTACTTTGTATAAAAACTATACCCAAATTTTTTATGGGATATCTATGTGTTCATATAGTAGAAGTATGTCCATATGGTAGTTTCACCTTAGAATTTTAGACCATTTAATATGATTGATTTTCCCTCCTAAACTTGTCAGTGTAAGCATTTTCTTTGTGAGATTTTCTGTTTTCATGGTAAAGCATAGTGCAAGATTTTTTGCAAACATGTCATTTTAGACAATTGTCTAGTTTTTCAACTGATGTAGCCTATATCATTACTCTGCACTGACTGCACAATACCAGATAGATCTTAGAGAAGACAGGAGTGCCATTTTACTATCAGTCAATAATGTTTTTAGTCTGTTTTCACTGTTGACAAGGTGCTGCACAATTTATGAGTATTTTCTGTTATAGCTAAGATATTTATCACTAAAATTCTTCTTTGTTCCTTGTTGTATTTATACTATATCTTTCTATAGCTAGTTGGCGAGTTGAATAAGTATGAAAATTGGCCTTCAACCTGCCAAGAAGTATGCCATTCTAGAAGACATTGGGACTCATTTTCTTTGTCTTTGTACTGGACAACATCAACTGGGAGGAGAAGGCTCATGACATGAGACAGAGTATACAGAATCGAAGTGTACATGCCGTTGCAACTAGCATTGTTTTCAACAGAGTTGCTGACAAAAACCTACCTGACTTTGGTCCACAGAAAGATATTAGGAAATGCAATGTTCTTGATATTGTGACTGTCAACAAAGATGAACTGGAAGCAAGGAGATGTAGATACAGAGTGATTGTTGCAAATTTCTTGTTCGACTGCTTTGAGGCTTTCAAAATTTTTAAGCCATATGTGCCACAAACCACAGTGCATGTATGCAAACGAAATGTCAGCAAAGTCAGAAGTCCTAACCATGCCAGTGTTAATGAAAGACGAGAAGAAATACTCATATTGTGTTGACATTTTGGACCAGCTGGAGAAATGGGTGTATGACATTTATTCGTCTGCTGGATTATGCCCTTTGGCTAATGATTCAAATGAAGATACCATCCCTACCATAGGAGCCACCTCCAGACCAGATCAACCCGCTTCACATATTTCACCCTCTACGACTGAAAGTGATCCATTGCATGGTAATAAAATACCATGCTTTGGTGACCAGCTTTCTCGTGTGCGAATGGCTGGAGCAAAAGATCTTCGTGCTGGATGCCATCTGCCAAAGCAAAGATTGGATCACTTATACCCATTTTGTATAGTCGATTGGCATACAAAGAGGAGTTTTTTTGAAGCTATATACAGTTTATTGACTAGCAGCCTTTCATGGCTTTTATTAAAATTGATGATTTATCACAATTGAGGCTAATTGTAGGATAATACTTGTTGGCACCACAATAGCTAACTTTATTTCTGGTATAGCCACAATGTCAAGTTTTATTGTCAGAAGCTGAAGCACATTGTTGCAAATGGGCTGCTACTGTGAGTTGGAAAGGTGGTGCTGGCAAGAACACCGAGATTGACCTGTTCCAGGAGAATCGCAACTGCGAAATGAAAAAGCTGATCAATTCCATGGGTGCAAACAAGACCGAGAAGGCAATAAGCAGAGCATCTGGAGGAGTGACAAAGATTGTGGAAGCTTTTGAGAGTCAATTTAACATGCATCAGAAGTCTTCATCGCACTCTCACAGGTCGTCAGCAGAACATGAACTTGTCATCCTTAATGATTTGAGAGCCAGTGGGCCATTCAAGAAGAATGACAACAGAGTGTACCAGTCATTTGTTGGTGTATCACATTACCCCATCCATACATTTGACAAAGACAAAATTTAAAGAATGGATTGAGAGGCATACGAACAATATAATAATGCACTATCCTGCTTCAGATGACCCAGACGATTCAGAAAGTTTGTAGATTATAGCTGAACACATAACACCAAATATGTACTTTTGTGTTATGTAATTTATATATTCTAGGGAAACACTATCCTGTGCATGGTTTGTGATTTATAAATCCCGTAAAATTTAATGATGCTCCCTGCATATTTTATAGATTTACCGATTGCTTGTGGGCACTCAATTATTTCAAATGGATTTCATATATGAACAATATTAAAAATTCCTAGGATGCACAGCATAATAAGCTCAAGAAAAATGAGATTTTATCAGATTTTTAAAATGATTTAAAAACCTAAACCTTTATGAACCATGCTACACCCATACAAATATTGTTTGCATATGGAAGAATTAAATCAGACATGTAACATTTATTAGCATAACATATTATTATAAACTATACAAATCAAAAGTTGTTATGAAGAAATTAATGCATTTTGTATTTTATAAAAACTGAACAGCTAAGTAGAATTATACTTAAGTAGAATTATAAATTGTCTGGGGCAAAACAATCAATATGAGAATACATAACAGTCAAGTTTAGGTAATGCATCTCACTTTTCAAACTATTCTAATTTTGCCAAATGATATTTGTTTTACACCAGACAGTTTTCTCACTTAAAAATGTGCTTCTATACAGTAATATTTTAATAACAGCAAAACCTTTCTAAAATTGTATATAGATAAATACTTGTTATCTTTGTTGATGTGTGCAAGTTTAAGCACATGTCCATTGTATTTATGCCTTAACATTGTCAAATAACATCTCACTCAAATCAACCTGTACACAATTAAAACAATCACACTTCAGCTTGCATACACTGCAACAGATGTGTAATGGCTTCATAAGAACTATTTGTTCTGCATCCAGTGAATTCAGCAGCAATTTCCTGAGGAATATATTAGCATTAGAACAATAGTTGCGCATATCATTATTCATTGCTAGCCTGTTCTTAGCGATATCTCGGTTATTGTAATATAGACAAGCCACTGATGGCTTGCCATCTCTGCCAACACGTCCTGTTTCTTGAAAATAAGCTTTTATGCTGCATGGAGGAACAACATGAATGATCTGGCGAATATCAGGTATATCCACACCCATTCCGATAGCTATTGTGGCAAAAACAACACAAATAATGCTGCATTTTGAACAGAGCTATTTTAAAATTTCTTCTTTCATCTGGTTTGTTTGTGGTGAATGAAATTGTGCAAACAATCAGTTTGAGGGGATTGGAAGAGAATTAACAGGAAAATCTTGTTGGGAACCAAGAACTGTTCAAAAAGTTTTAGGCAAATCCACATAACCGTAGAGGAACATACACTATAGTAAGTGGATACTCATTTCTTTGCTCCAACAGTCCTTCCGCAATGGGCATTAAAATGGATTGAATGGCGTTGAGATCTTGTCCATGTCAAAAGACTTTACTGCAGAAAATGTTCTTTATGTCTGGATTGCCAATGACTAATTTACAATCTTTTAACCCCAGGGAGTCAATAATGGCATTTATGTCTGCTCGACTTGCTGTTGCTGTCATGGCAAGACAGGGAACATCTGGAAAGAGTGCACATAACACCCCTAACTTGCCATAGTCCTCTCTGAATTCACTTCCCCTTAAATATATGAAAACAAATGATATGTTAGAATATCCCTGTGTAAAATCCATATAGATCACTGAAAGAAAGGGCATGCAAGAATGGTCGAAGTTACTTAGGAAGGCCTCTAAAAATGACACTTACAATACAGTGAGCTTCATCAACAACAATCGCAACCAGATATTCTTGGTACTGTTTGCTTGACAATAAATCTCGTCCGAATTTGCAGGAAATAAAACTTTCTGTATGGGGAAATATAATGTGATAATATTCGTAGCGTAATTTGTTCTCTTCCCACTGACTTAAATCGATATCAACAACTTTGTCAGCATGGATATCTTCTGTCTCTGAATCAAGCTCCAATTTTGCTTCCTTTGTATTAACAATAGACGCTCTAATTCCAGTTACGCCCAATCCAGATATTTGGTCACTTATCAGGGAATTGAGAGGTGATACAACAATGACTATAGAGTCTACCGCTGCCGTAGAAACACCTTTCGATTTCCGACCAGTAAGTAAATCGCCTCTCAACTTGGATTCAATAATGCACATCTCATTTACATTTCATTGACAAAGTAGATTACCCCCCGGAAAACCCGATGCGTTCTTCGAAATGCAAAAAATGTGTATTGTGTTCTATCAAACTCATAGATCATTCACGCAGTTGATATATTACGAAGGAGCAAGAAAGTGTTGCTTCTGCACATTAATATAGACCATATTAGCTTACAGGCAGTTGCGAATGCACATAATTTGAGGATTCGTATTACAGAAAGTGCACACAATTTTGCAGAAACTACAGTTGTTACCTCTATTTATGCTCAGTCTGGGGGAAATGTAAGAAATATTTACATAGGACATCTTGATGAACTACATTTTGTTTCTACAACACTAATTCAACAATCTGCTTCTGAACAAACACAAAATCAGACAGGAACTGTGAAACAAAAACTATACCATAAAAATTCACCATCTAATAACAATGAAATTATCTCGAAAAAGCCAGTCTCCAAGAATAGTTCTCAAAAAAGAAAAGAATATATGAAGGAATACATGTGGAAAAAAAGGTTTAACAATGAATTTAAAGAAAAAGAAACTGAGAAAAAAAATCATATTATAAGAAATACAAAAACACAAATTCTGAGAAAGTAAAAGACTCTTGGCAAAAAGCAACTGCAACATCCAGACAATCAAATACTAAGTAAATAAAAAAAATTGCCAAGATGGCCACTGCAACATACAGGTAAACAAATCCTGAAAAAGCAAAACAGACTTTTAAGACATCTACTGCAACATAGAGCCTGCGCCCAGATGCTCTGAAAAGCCAGGCGGGAAATAGGATGTCTGCGAACAAACGCACCATCTCTTGTTACTTAATTTATGCATAGTAATTAGTCTTTCAATTAACGCAATATATTTCTTGAATTAATCTCGGCACGGCAATGTAATTGTTCATGGTGCGCCTCAGGGAGATAAGCAATTATGTCAGAATCTGGTCTCTGTTGCTTATGTAAAAGTCAGTTTAGTAGGCCGAGAGATAATATCTGATTGAAGGTAGAAGCAAAGAGAATTTACCATTTGAGCTGAACAGCTTGCCTTTTGGTACACTATTTAATTCGGGGGATTATTTGTGCAGCAATTGTGTGAATGCATTGAACAAGAGACAAAGATTGATCGAACAGTTGCACAAAGTCGAAGAGAAATTACAATCTCGATTTGAAAAGGAGTCTTTAGCATCGCCAGGCAGTGACAGTGGGAGTGAAAAAAAGTGTAACAGAAGACAATTTACTACAGAGCAAACAGCCTCGCACAGATACACCTAGTGTAAGCAACAAATTTGACTTTACCTTCGGGGAGTGTATATCACCACCAGGTGAGCCCTTGCTACACTATGAATCTACCCTACATATCTCATATACAATTAATTATGCAATAGCGGGAAACAACCTACTTGCCTTGACTGGTATCTCCAAGTAGGGTCATATCTTGTAATTGTTGGAATAAAATTGAATTGAATAATATGTATTGGTTTATTGCAGACATTTCTGAAAATGATTTACCACAGCAAAAATGATTCTGATGGCATAAATGAAATCTTGATAGATCTTCATCAGTATGTCCTGTGTTTTGGTGAAGATGGCAGTAAAGTTTATGGAGAGCAAGGAGTAGTTGACAACCAACTAACTGTTGAGCGAGCAGTGAATGCACATATGTCTGTCATTAATGGTTTTACATCCCAGAAAAGGCTAGAAGGTTTACATTTCGAAATCTCTGATTGGCATGCTGGAAATCAATTTTTGGAGGTACTGTACTGCACCATGCACTATAAATTTGTATGATTTAATCAGTAAAGTAAATGTCCAGTTAATCTTATCTATACTGTGTGGTTAAATTAATGATTTTGGGCCAGATTGTATGTCAATCACAGAAAAGCATGTTTATTATAACCAACAGCATTTTACATGAAGGCATGATGGTTTAAAAGCACAATTTGGTTATTAATAATCTGCTCATAATTTAGTCATGGTTGTCTAATACTTATATATTATGTATTTGTATTTTGATTTAGCTGCATTTAGCAACTTGTATCAGACTGGCTCTGCATTGGACAAATGCACCTTATACAGTGATCAAAACCTCATCAACAGGCGTAATGTCAAAAGTTATGTAAATGATGCTGTAAATGTTTGTAGAAGGTTTTTTCAACTGGCAGTTGAGGCAAGAGTTGTTGCAGCATGTTTTTAAGTGCTCAATATGGTTAATTTGGATGGAACACCAAATAATCACAAGTTTTGTGGTGATATGGCATCCAGGGATGATAAAAAAGCCTACATAAAAGAAGTAGCTACTATGGTTGTTGACAGGTTTGTATTCAAACAAGTACATTAAAACTAATATGAGACATATGTGTACATGCAATTATATTATTATTATTAATCTGGGACTGACAAACAAACAAGTCTACCTATAAAGACACTAGAACACACCTAATCAATGCACCCCTTACTACACTCCTAAGATATAAAAAGTGCCTGTTTTTCATGTATACTATTATTTTATGAAAGGTTTATTATTGATGAAGAAAAGAACCGAAGGATCGTCAAGCAAATTGAAAATTTGAAGCTTTGCAAAGGTTCTGGATCAGGCATTAATGACGAAGGGAAGTACCCATGGAGAGCTCCAGGCTGTTGCAAAGTGTTTGTTCATGATGGGAAATGCCAGAGTGACCATAAAGCTAGCCACACCTTTCCTATTGACGTTCCAAAAGTTAAGGATGTCATCCTAAATGCTGAGCCACCACCTCAGGAATGTGGTGATATGCTTTCTTATCAAAAAGCACTATTGGAATATGGCATCCTTCTATTAAATTTCTGGGATGCTATTTCAGAAGGGGGTGGGAGTAGAATTATTCAATCATGGAAAACTTTCTGCTCTACCTCAGAAATTAAGATAAGTCAATGGAATATCCCTCTTGACCTGCAGTTAGAATTTTACAATGAGATTTTGAAAGCTGTAGTGAAGAACCCTGGACCAAATGCATCAAGGAAATCATTTGATAGGATTTGCCATGCCATGGGGGTCACAAATGAACTCATGCACAACTTTGACAAAGAAACAAAGATTATTAAGAGGTCTGGCAAACATGTGAAACAGTCAGTGAAATCTGACTTTTCAAAAATTGTAGATTAATTGATCAATGAAAAAGCATTTTCTTTAACACCTGGCCGCCAATATCCTTATATTAAGAACATAAAATCTACTGCCCTTCATGGTTTCAACTCGCAGAAATTATACAAATGGATTAACACACATAAAAAAAACATTGTTCTTAAAAGGTCAGCACGATAAATGAAAAATGATTAACAGAAATTATTTTATATCTGTACCACAATGTACTTTGTAATTAAAATATTTCTGAACCTTGTATTCTAGATATATTCTTGAGTGCAACTATGGAAGATTGTGGGTAGCTGAATATTTGCAGATTTTACAGCTATAAAGATATATATTGTTAATATTAATAGATTGAATTGTTAATGTGAATTGAAATTGTTAATAATAATAGATAGAATTATATTGTTAATACCTATGCATGAAATATTACAATTTAATATTTTTTGATCAAATTAATATTTTTTTATATTAATGACTCAAACAAAGATTTATTATTGGCACTTTCTGGTGATGCTATGCTTTCTAAACTTTCATCAGTGTCACATTCCATTTCCAATATTTGTGTGTCATCAATGTTGAATGAATACAATGAGGAATCATTCTTAATTTTATCCCATACAGAGTCGTGCAAGGTTGGGTCCACTTCCATTTCATCCATATCCATATCATCATCAAAATTCACCATGTCCATATCAATATCATCAAAGACTTGAATAAGAGTTTTCAAAATGAATCTTGCATAGTCTTTATGCCAAATTTCACAGTACTCTAAAATGTCATTATAACTGAAAAGTTGATCATAGTTATTCACAATTTGTTAGATATGAAAAATGTTAAACTCCAACAGAACACTCAGACATGCCAGTGCCTTGCAATCAGTTTGAGTGTGTGCATTGGAATGTAGGTCCTTCTGATACGAGACCAACTTCTCTTTTAATTCTGACACCTGCGATGGCAGTGGCGAATGAACATTCTTAAGAATAACCGACTTTTTCTCTATCAAGAAACAGTTACCACAATCATCACTCTTACAGTCACACTTAGAAAAGCATATGTCACAGCATAAATGACCTCAATACTGACCTGATCACTTCCTCCAAAATGACGCATTAGTGATCTCCTCCTACAGTCAGTATAGAGCAAAATTCCCTCATGTCCTGTTCAGAATTTGCAGGCAGTATGCCATTAAACATTATAACACATGAACTCTGTTGTCTATCTCGTCCAGCACGTCCAGACTCTTGGATGAAATGTTCAATGTTCTTTGATGGTGGGCCAAAATGGACAGATGTAACTAACATTTTTACAATTGACACCCATACCAAAACCTATAGTTGCAATCAAAATTTGGATATGACCACCCTCCTGTGACATGTTTGTCATGATGTGTTGTTTCACCGAATCGGGTGTGCCCGTATGAAACATTTCTACCATTCGATTGCTAGAGATGCATTCTCCATGAAATAGCTTCTCTTCCAGTTGTACTTGAAATAAGTGATAGAGCACTGAACACTGTTTACGAGTTTGGCAGTAAATTATAGTACATTCCGTCTCACTTCTATTTGTCTTTAGATCCTCAATGAGGTTACCAAAAACATCTTCAAGTGGCATATCTTTCTTCACCTGTTTTAAAATGTACATATGTGTAGAGACTCCAAGATCTGGAATTGTGTTGCCTTTTTTGCTGTGGCAGTTAGAATCACCATCTTGCAGTTTGTGAGCAAGAGCGATGTCATCTCTCCTAGATAACCATACTAGCTACGGAATGATATTTTCTTTGTTGTACTTGAGACATCACGCCCCTATCGAAAGAATAAACAATTCATTAACAATTATTCACCAACTCTGAGGCAAATAATTATTTTGGTATAAATACAATAGGTGATTAAATTTGTAGCATATTTTTGTGTTTCTTTGAACAGTGTTTCTTTTAAAATCTTATTTCATCCCACCCTAGCTATCCTCACCCATATTCACAAAGCTGTCTGCCATTATACGTCAGGACACAGTAGGCCGTAGGATGAGCATCCAAAAGATGCTTAGAAGAAAACGAATTCCGTTGCACCCCTCGTGGAACTACATAATTTTCACATGAATCAAGGCGATGCTAGAAGATTTCTCCAAACCTCCAAAGCTAGTAAGCACTCTGGTGAGCCGAAAACATGTGTGTAGATGCCATTTAAAACATTCTGAATGATTTCGGGGTCTACGGCATTTCCATCCATTAGGGCCTCAGCAGGGAAAAAAAACCCTGCAAACTGTTTAACTGATCTTTCATTAACGCTTGCAGCGGTGAATAATAGAGATAAGCGACTTCCCAAAACCCGTTGGGAGGCTAACAAAGACATTTTTCTTCCCTTTAAAGAGTGCCTTAATACCTTTCACTTGCTTTTGAAAAAACTCGTCAATTTCAAATTGTTCTTTGAAAGCAGAAAACGCACCATTCCATAGCTCTTCGCTGAAAGCATCCATCCGCCATCTTGAAATGTTTTCATATCATGCATTGTCATTACAAAATTATCATACCTAATACCCAATCAAACACCAGCTTGAGCAAATTAACCAATCAGGAACCAATATTATATATTCCTCCAATCACAAACTGTCCCCGGGATTATGCGGAAAGTCACATGCTGAGGACAAGAAAACTGCAGAATGTGCATAGACGTATATTTTACATACATAGGTCTATATCGTATGCTATGCAACATACAGACAATTAAATCCTGAGAAAGCAAAACAGTGTTTTAAGACATCCACTGCAACATTAGACAATTAAATCCTGAAAAAAACCCCAGAGTTTTAAGACATCCACTGCAACATACAGAAAATCAAATCTTGAAAAAGCAAAGAAGAGTTTTAAGACATCCACTGCAACATACAGGCAATTAAATCCTGAAAAAGTAAAACAGAGTTTCAAGACATTCATTGCAACATACAGACAATTAAATCCCAAAAAGGTTAAAGAAATAAATAAAACAACTGCTACAACATATAGAAAATTAAATCCTGAAAAGGTTGCAGAATCGTCAAAACTGTCAAATATTATGTACAAGCAAAAGTATCCAGAAAGAGTTAAAGTGCCTATAAACCCAAGATGGGTTTTTGGTGATTCGGATAGAGCGTAAAAAGTTACAATAGAGGTTCTAGATTAGATTTTGATTTAAACTTCTAGTTTGAGATATAGCGGCTCAAACATACGAAATTCTCAATTTTCTCAAAAAAGTCGTGCAGTTAAATTTACTGTGAAGGGCCTGGGTCGGATGAACACGTTCTTTCAAATAAATAGGGTTTTCTATTGCAAATCGACACAACTGCAAGAGTTTTTGTTTCATCAGTGCGTAAACGGTGTATCGTTTACGGTTGTTCCAACATTACTGACTCAAGTAAAGGTATTTTTTTGATAATTCACCCGTGGCTGTCCGGAGAAGGAAAAGATGGATGAGCTTTGTGCGACGCAGATGTGACAATTGGGGCCCAACAAGTTCGTCAGTTGTGTGCTCAGAGCATTTCACTCAGGAATCAGGAATGCTTTGAGTATGGCCTGGAAAGCGTGGAAAAGTATAAGACTCACAAACTTAAAATAGTTAGGCGTGGAATTTGCATCGTTTCTACAGTAGAAACAAATCAACTCTTGGGTAACGCGGTTTCAGAGCGCACCAGACCGAAGGAGGGTAAGCAATACCTTATGTTAATTTGACAATATGCATCATCAGCGCCTATGAAACACATTTGAATATTTAATTTTGGGTCAAACTTTATACTGTTGTTAACTTTTAAAATATTTTTATTGATGTATAAGATTTATTTCACGTCTGTATGCGTCTATATCTCGTGTATCAGTATCACACCCGTGATTACATACGAGCCAACAAAATCTCCCTTATAAGAGAAGAAATGGTATGGCTGTTGGTGTGAACACATTTTTACACTGCATGCACTCACTTAGAAAAACAAAATTTCAATAGCTCCATTTTTGTAGTAAAGGAGTTCATATGGATATAATTTTATTCTAGCTATTCTTGTTTATAGATTACAGAAACTGTTGGGAATTAAGCCTTGTCAAACATGAAAAGTTAGAAAATCCTTTGTTCAACAAATGTGCACATATGGATATCATTCAACCGCAAAAATGGTTAAACAAAGGTAGTTAACATACATACAAAACATATTATCATGTACATGCCATAATGCCATGTAGGCATGTACACTAGCCAGTCAGAACAGCACTTTTTTGCCCATGAGTATTTTTTCCATCAAGCCATATAGCTTCAAGATTGATGAGTGAAGTCTGGCATTAGACAAGTAAAAAATAGTGTCCAAATCAGTGCAATTGTGCACATTGCAGTTCAATTGGTAAACTATTTTAAACATTTGCAGATTCCATTGCTAATGCATATGAAAAAATAGGTACGCAATGCGTACATGTGGGTAGCCTGTAAAACATTATTAACTGCAATAAAGCTGCTATAGTTGCGAGTAAATATCAACTGATGCAATAAAATATTATTTTCCTGTCTTATGTTCTAATGCCATAGACAACGGAATAAACACACTATAGTTAGCTGGTTGAATACAGTTATAACGAAGTTGATTTATTACACAATCTATATATTATAATATTTTATTATATTAAATACATTTTACGACAGATCAAAACATATATAAAAGCATTTTTACAAGAGATAGGAAATGAATTTTTTTTAAGCAGAATAGATGAACAGAACAAAAAAGAGAGTAAGGTTCCGGGATGGTGGCACACATCGTCTGATAACATAAAGCTTAGTTTAGAAGGAGAAAAAGAAGGTTTCAGACTTTTTCAAATTATTTCGTTTTGATGTCCCTTGATTATCAGCATGTCTTTGTTACATACAAGATTGGTTCTTTTGCTGATAAATCAATTTTATAGTTATGTCAATAGTCAATAAATGTTAAACGTTATTGTTCCAGTAAGATTATACCACTTGTTTGCCAAAGTTTATTGACAATACATTTCACAATTGTAACTGAAGATGATAGTATGATTTAATTTAGAAGGTTTAAAAACGAACTTTCTCTGAGCCTCATTTTTACAATTGATTTCTGCGTTATTTAATATAGACCAGAATAAGGCTTTAAATTTTATTTACAAACGACGTTTCGGAGTTTACTCCATCATCAGGTTAAGATAATCAGATTATGTACAATTTTGAATAAATCGCGTATAAAAACCGTTAAAGCTTGCGTCCGTTACATTTTCGTGCGCATGCGATTTTTGTAAGCATAAAATGACGTGTCCGAGAAATTCTAATAAAATTAGAAATTAATTATAGTATTATTTATACTGCATGCTGTCTAAACTACAAAATCTATAATGTTTAATTGTTCGTATTTCCCATTCAAGTCCGGTTTCAACTTTTGAATGAATAAAGCTTCGGTAATCTTGCGTTCTACCGATCCTTTCGTTTTTTTTAAAATCTTGATCGAAAGCTTAGGTTTTTGTCCACGATGTAGTTCACTATAATGCTTTGCGAAAGCCATGTTCTTGTAGGATTTCGCCGTAGGATTTGCTGCAGATCGATAATGTTCTTGGAATCTGACGGCTAATGGTCTACTTGTTTCTCCTACATATGTTGCTCCGCACAGGTCACAGTTTATTTGGTAGACAACGTCTTTCTGCGAGCATCGAATGGGAAGCAATGACCTACTGCACACTGAGCATTTCGAGGGATTTGTGCATGTGTTGTCGCGACTCTGCCAGAAGGTTCTTCAATGAGCTTTGAGATCGTTCAACTATTCGGACATTGAGGTCTGAACGCTGGACTGCTCTTCTGATGTCGTTGGTGAATTGGCTTGAGATAAATGGTATTGTAAATGTACTTGGCGCTTCGGTTTTTGATGCTCGTTTCTTGCTTTTTGTCGCTTTCACTTTGTTGACATACTTGCTGTCATAACCGTTTCGTCTCGCTCTTCTTTCAAATTTCCGTTCAGCTTCTTGTAATAATGTATCGTTTGAACATATCGAAGTGTAGGTTTTGATCGTGTTACCAATGGCAGCTCGCTTGATGTGTTCTGGATGATGAGATTTTGCGTTCAACATCAATCCTTTGTTTGCTGATTTTGTATGCCACCCCGTCTCGATTGTTCCAGATGTATTCACTTTGATTTTTGTATTGAGGAAAGGAAGGAATCCGTCTTCGCCAGGTAACTCGATTTCAAATTGAATTGATGGATCTTGCCCATTCAGCTGATTTTGAATCTTTACGGCTTCGTTTGGATTGTCAGCGGGTGTAATACAATCGTCGATATATCGGTAATAGATGGAAATAGCTTGATCGGAATAGATTGCTTGATTTTCTATTCTGTCCATGTAAAGTATAGCGAGAATTGGTGCCAATCGATTTCCCATTGCCAGACCTCGACGTTGTTGATAGAACGATCTTTTCCAAGAGAAGCAGTTCTTTTCGAAGATAGCTTTTGTCAGTAGAATGATGTCTGATATAGAGAATTGATATAGTTGGATGTTTTTCTTTTCTTTTTCAAGATATAGGCGCAAGGTATCAATGGCTGCGTCGTTGTTTACACTGGGGTATAATGAAACCACGTCTAAACTAAATAGGATCTTGTTCTTCAACTCACCACTCTTTAAGTTACGCAGTTTGTTCAACAGATGTTCAGTGCTTCGAAGATGTGCTTTTACAAATTGTAGGAGGGGATTGCATATCACTTGTATCAGCCAGGAGATTTTATCCGCAGGACCAGCACAGCCAGAAATTATAGGTCTCACTTTGATGTTATCAGGGTTGGAACTTGGCTCGTTGTTATGAAATTTATGCGTTTTGGTTAGCAAATAGATAACGGGGCACACACTGTGTGTCGTTTTTAATCTTGTGATGGATCTTTCGTTAACAAAATTCTTCTTTGCGACATACTCCCACACTTCATTGATCTCTTCCTCAGCTTTCTTCGTTAAATCATTACACGGTTTGTAAAGTGATTGATTTTCAAGGTGTTTTTTCATCAAGGTGTTATCCAGGTTGCTATCCATAACCACAAACTCGCCTCCTTTATCACTTACTGAAATTCTGACTTTTCGGCTTTCTTAAGTGTGGTCAAATCAACCAGTGTTTTTCTTTGGTGTCGAGTGAGATTGGAGGGAATGGGTCTTGACTTGTGTTTGCTTATCACTTTCTTTACTTCATGTTTAAGGTGCTGGAGAGAGGATTCTAAATGTTGAAATTTTGTCTCCGGTGCTGTGCAAAACTTATCGAACGGACATTGTTCAATAGTTGGTTCTATAGTTTGATATGGGGCACTTTGGGTAGGTTCTTGGGTATGTTGTTGATTATCATTTACGGATTGTTTGCTGTGTATTTCTTTCCAACGCAGTCGGTATGCAAGTTTTGCCAATTGCACATTAACGTCCAACTCTGTTCGTTTGTTAATGGTTTTCATCGAAGGAACAAATTGCGGTCCCAAATCGAGTAAATCTGCTGTACCATCAGGCAGAAGAGTTGTTGAAGTTAATATTGTGACTCTTGGTGGAGACTCATCGTCTTGATCAGTAGAGGATTGTGAGCGGGGGTTAGAAACATTTGATCTGCTTGTGTTATTGTTCGACAAAGATTCAAACTTACGAATGAGTTTAAATTTCTTATTTTTCTTTAGAAGTGTAACTTAAAGAGTGGTGAGTTGAAGAACAAGATCCTATTTAGTTTAGACGTGGTTTCATTATACCCCAGTGTAAACAACGACGCAGCCATTGATACCTTGCGCCTATATCTTGAAAAAGAAAAGAAAAACATCCAACTATATCAATTCTCTATATCAGACATCATTCTACTGACAAAAGCTATCTTCGAAAAGAACTGCTTCTCTTGGAAAAGATCGTTCTATCAACAACGTCGAGGTCTGGCAATGGGAAATCGATTGGCACTAATTCTCGCTATACTTTACATGGACAGAATAGAAAATCAAGCAATCTATTCCGATCAAGCTATTTCCATCTATTACCGATATATCGACGATTGTATTACACCCGCTGACAATCCAAACGAAGCCGTAAAGATTCAAAATCAGCTGAATGGGCAAGATCCATCAATTCAATTTGAAATCGAGTTACCTGGCGAAGACGGATTCCTTCCTTTCCTCAATACAAAAATCAAAGTGAATACATCTGGAACAATCGAGACGGGGTGGCATACAAAATCAGCAAACAAAGGATTGATGTTGAACGCAAAATCTCATCATCCAGAACACATCAAGCGAGCTGCCATTGGTAACACGATCAAAACCTACACTTCGATATGTTCAAACGATACATTATTACAAGAAGCTGAACGGAAATTTGAAAGAAGAGCGAGACGAAACGGTTATGACAGCAAGTATGTCAACAAAGTGAAAGCGACAAAAAGCAAGAAACGAGCATCAAAAACCGAAGCGCCAAGTACATTTACAATACCATTTATCTCAAGCCAATTCACCAACGACATCAGAAGAGCAGTCCAGCGTTCAGACCTCAATGTCCGAATAGTTGAACGATCTCAAAGCTCATTGAAGAACCTTCTGGCAGAGTCGCGACCTTACGACAACACGTGCACAAATCCCTCGAAATGCTCAGTGTGCAGTAGGTCATTGCTTCCCATTCGATGCTCGCAGAAAGACGTTGTCTACCAAATAAACTGTGACCTGTGCGGAGCAACATATGTAGGAGAAACAAGTAGACCATTAGCCGTCAGATTCCAAGAACATTATCGATCTGCAGCAAATCCTACGGCGAAATCCTACAAGAACATGGCTTTCGCAAAGCATTATAGTGAACTACATCGTGGACAAAAACCTAAGCTTTCGATCAAGATTTTAAAAAAAACGAAAGGATCGGTAGAACACAAGATTACCGAAGCTTTATTCATTCAAAAGTTGAAACCGGACTTGAATGGGAAATACGAACAATTAAACATTATAGATTTTGTAGTTTAGACAGCATGCAGTATAAATAATACTATAATTAATTTCTAATTTTATTAGAATTTCTCGGACACGTCATTTTATGCTTACAAAAATCGCATGCGCACGAAAATGTAACGGACGCAAGCTTTAACGGTTTTTATACGCGATTTATTCAAAATTGTACATAATCTGATTATCTTAACCTGATGATGGAGTAAACTCCGAAACGTCGTTTGTAAATAAAATTTAAAGCCTTATTCTGGTCTATATTAAATAACGCAGAAATCAATTATGATTTAATTGATGCATTAGGAAGGTACACATGGTTTCCAATGTTGATTACAGATAACTTATCAGCATCAATTAGCTGGACATAATAGCACCAGTTCGTAGGTCCAAAAAAACTGCGTGGCTTTTTCCAAGTTTAAATTTATCAGTTGACAATATCTTATCACTGTGGTAATCAGTTTGACAATCAGTCAACATTGAATGCCATCATTCATCATTGATATAAATGTGTATTGCTCAGTAGTAGTTACCGGGAACGTATGAGTAGCATTTACCAGTAAGGTACCAGAGAACTTTGTTCTTGTTTGGCATTCGTTGCTGCGATTAACAGATTACAGTTGCGGTATGTGGAGAGAAGATGAGAGGAACGAGGATTTCCGATATATGTGTTGTGGTCTTTTTATCTTCGGATTAATTTAGCGTTGATCCACGCGGTTGGCAACAAGCAACGCTGAAATTTTTAAAACTTCTTTGTGATCGTAGCTGATTCAGACCTGTAAAAAGCAAAAACTTGCGTTATCAAAGAAACAAACACATATGTATAGCTAGTATGCAATACGAATCTATTATTTACCTTTAAATTATTGGTGTTTCAGCTTCTACATCGTGTGAATAATTTGAAAATATGCCACTGGAACCTAAAAATAAAGGGAAATGGTCAAATTGCATGAGAAAAGAAAATGAAAAAAAAACTCAAAATTAAATGCTTACCTTTTGTTAAATTGGAGCCAGGCCAATAAATATTGGCCTGTGTTGATCTTACCATGTCAATACTATGGTTGTTCTTGTAACATGCTAACGCTATAGTCGGACGTGATTACCTCTTTACCTGGGTTCATCTTACCACATCAATACTATGGTTTTTCTTGTAGCATGCTAATGCTATGTCTGGATGTGATTACCTCCTTACCTTTAGAGAGGCCCAAATTGCTTTGTGATCACTAAAGTAAGTTTCAAGAGTACCTGCCTTAATATCCTCTTCAATCAAATTCGTATACAGATGATCAATCAATGTTCCATTATCTGTTGTAGAACTAGTTATAAGTTGCTCGAAGCCATTGGCATTGATCATAAGATTGTACAGTGATCTTCGTTCTATCTTATCAAGCCAGTTGACATTAAAGTCTCCAATTATTATAACCTGTGGAGAAGGATGTTCCTCCAATGTCGTAGAAATGGCGGCCAAAAGAGATGATAATGCAAGTGTTGGAGATCTGTATATTCCAATTACAATTAGGTCTGGACATTCGACCATCTTCATAATAGTTACCTCGATCCCATGACAGTTTCTCGCACAAGGATATCCAATCATCATAGGAAGCTTAGAATAAACAGCTGTTCCATGATATGGACGGTTGAGATTTGAAACGTCGTCATTTCTGAATAACTCATAGCCTTCAATTGCGTACATTTCACCAGGATCTTTTTCACGAAATCTCATTTCGGTAAAAATTAGGATATCAGCAGACGTATAATTAATATATTTTCGTATATCTTCAATGTGTTTGTGCAAAGATCTTGCATTAAGATAACAAATTTTTAAATCAGTGGGATTCAGCATGTACAATGGAGTGAAACAAAGATCTAATTTATACTAATTTCTCAGTAAGTGCATTTCTTCTACAACTTTAGGATCAACGGAAATCTTACTTTTCGCACAGATCAGTTATATATAGCCCTTCGATTGTTGTTACTCGGCTTAGGGCGACGTAATGAATATGAGGAATTGCTCTTCTTGTATTTAAATTAACGACGATTTGTGACTGAGTATCACCTTGTGATCGATGAACTGTTTTCGTGGCAGCTGGCCTCAAAGGAAATTGCTTTCTTACCACTTGAGCAGACTCTGTTTTACCTACAGCAAATTGCGTTGTAACAGGTTCTATTGGTGTCCAAGTACTTAGTATAGATGTACTTCGAGCATGGAGAATTCTATTTTCTTGTCAGGTTTTCTTTCCAACATCTTCGTGGTCAAACTGAACCCAAACGATGCCAGAAGGTTTAGCATTATCAGTCAATTGAACAAGTTTAATGACATTACTTCCACCGTTTGTCAGACCATCATCAGTGCGTATATTCAACGCAATTTCTGTTCGCTGTTCGACAGCAATATGCAATTTACGAGCTAACTGTTTTGAATTTTTCAAAGGAACATGTGGTATTTCAGTTCAGCTGAACAGGCTCCAATGACGCTATCTTGTGCCTTGATTATGTATTTATCACTCCAATCAAATGATTGATAAACAATATCATTGTATTCATCAACTAAAGCATTTTGAATGAATAAACGTGGGGCCTCTCTGGGGCAAGCACTCTCTTCAATACAATCTCTTTCCTTTAGTTTTAGTAGATCACTTGGAGTATGATTACCTTCACGAAGTCGATTAAGTATCTCTGCAAAAATCTTGCTTTCTCTCTGTCGCATGATTTCATCAAGCTCAAACATTCTAAAATATTTTCTCCATAAGTTCGGGGCAAGAACAACATAAGAACTTAAAGACTGAACATCTGTAAATATATGACCATCCATGACAGGTTTTAGTTGAAATAAGTCACCTATTGTGATTATGCTGACACCACCGAAATCTTCTTTTACTACCTTTTAAATCTTTCAAACGGTTGTTCAATTGAATGGTGAACATGCTGTTGCCAACCATTGATATTTCATCAAGTAATATTAATTTTAATGAGCTTAGTTTGCATCTCATCGTATTCAGTCTTCCAGAATCTAATGGTTTATAATTTTTCAATGACTGACTAGCTGGAATGCGCAAGGCACTGTGAATCGTGTTACCTTTTATAAGATATGCA